CTCACATACTTATTTAAATATTTAAATGAAGCAATCTGAGATGTTCAGAAATCTGTCTTTAGTGAAAATGCTAACAACTCAGACATCTGACGATGAACCATAACTAGATGATGGCTGCAGTCGAAAAGTCTTTTTTGAACACATAGCCTGATGGCAAGTTTCAGTTTTTTCAGTTTTAGAAGTGATCTCAACCCCCAACAGATGGAAAGGTGTTTTTTTTTTTTTTTTTCTTGTGAGTGTATGTATATGTATATGTATATGTGTATATATGTGTATGTATATGCATATGTGTGTGTGTTAGTGTATTTATATATATATATATATGTATATATATTTATTTATTTATGTAAAACCCTTTTTTAAGGAACCCCCTTTATTTGTCTTTTTTTCATTTTGGGATATATAAGTTAATATAACTTAAATAACTTCTATATGTTATTGTTTACGTGTAAATGTGTATGGTGTCTGTATTACTGTTTGTTTTGTTCTATGTTCAAAATGTGAAAAATCAATACAGAGAGTTGAAAAAAAAAAAAAAGAAAAGTTCCTAACTGAGTGAAATAACCTGGAATTATCTGAGCAGCAGCCGTGATAAGAGTTGGTCCAATTCTCTAAATGATAAGGAAAGGAGCTTCACCGTTTCCTATTTTATCTCCTTTAGCATAGGAAACACTGTTCCTGTCCCACAATTCCTTGCTGCAGAAACATTTAAAGCGATGCACCAATGTAGTTTCACCTCGGCTGATCTACATAAATTTAAAAACAACAGATCACCTATTTTATGTTTGTGACATGATCCAAATCTTATGGAAATCCATGTCTGATCCACTGAAGCCCAGAACCATGAATATAGATTTCTTCTTTTTAAATCCAGCTAGGAGTCCTTATGAAGAACAAGCATGCTGCGGGCCATTTAAAATTGGTCAGTGAGCCACAATTGTGCTAGACTTTGGACATGCCTGTTCTATAAAATGGATCCTCTCAAGTAAAGTACAAGTACCAAGTTTATAACTTGATTGCAGTGTCACCCTTGATGCTTTAACAAGTATTAATGGAAATGAAAATTGAGATAAAAATTCATCTTTCATTGGCTCGTTGGTCTAGGGGTATGATTCTCGCTTTGGGTGCGAGAGGTCCCGGGTTCAAATCCCGGACGAGCCCGTTGTATAGAAAGAAGGTCATCAGCATCATGTCAGAGGAAATATCTGTAAATATGTCAAAGCAAACCCACTACTTGATTCTTTTATTTGGATGTTACAAACTAGCATATACAGAAGGGTGACAAACTAAAAAGGAAATCGTTGTAAACTCTCTAAGTAAGGTATCGGGCCCCCATGTGCCACCAGAAAAGCTTCACTCTGCCTTGCTGATGATTCTACAAGTCTACAGCACCAGACGTCTCGTTCATTTCTAGTTTTTATTTTAGTACTGGAGAGTTTTATCTCTTTGGGCCTCAAACTGTTATTTAAATACAACAATCTGAGAAGTTTAGAGGGGAAATGTCTCTTTAGTGAAACTTCTAACAACTTCATAGACATCTGAAACATGACAAGGAGCCGCAACAAGACTCTGCTATTTTGGGTTTGTTCTATAAAATGGACTATGTTGCAGTGGCACCCTTGATATAAATAGGGTTTGTGAGATCTTTTTTTGTTATAATTTTTTTTGTTACCAGTGGCTCGTTGGTCTAGGGGTATGATTCTCGCTTCGGGTGCGAGAGGTCCCGGGTTCAAATCCCGGACGAGCCCATTGATGCACATAATAGACTGAAGGCCCGTGAAATCACATGAGATGTCTAGGAATGTACTCTACAAGCTCTTTGGTCATAGATTCTCCATAGACAATGGGGTTTTATGTCTGTTGCTCTGACAGGTACACGGCTTTATGAGTCTCTTCTCACCGTCCATTAAGGTCTAATTGTTCATCTCATTTGGCCTTTCATAGTTATTTAAAGACCCCCCCTGATGAAAAGGAAATGTGACTGAAACTCACTGTGAATTCCCTGGACAATGACCAGCTCTATTCACACATGGCCTTAACTGGACATTACACAGACTTTGAACCAGGAAGCTGGCAGGGAAATGCCTGTTTAATGTCTGGTCCAACTGATTTGGACAGCTTATTATTATGAGATGTTGGGGGGGATTAGTAATTTTGGGGAGGGCCTAAGGCTCAACCCCTCCTCCCAGCCAACATGATATTATTTCTCTATAGATTTTCTTGCTATCACCAGAAAATGAGTCACAACAACATAAGATATAGTTTTAGTTTTGTAATTTTAACAGCACTAGTTTCTGGTAATGAACTTTCTCACAGTGAGAAATGTGACGCAAAACAACAAAATGAAGCATGAAGCAGCTCTGTGACATGAAAATGAACCGCAGTGGTGACACATCCTTCTGGAAATGTTGTAAGGCTGTTCTTGAGCAAGACACGTGGGAGACTCTCCGAGGCCATTTTATTTTTATTTACATACACTTATGAACTGAGCAAGAAGTTCTAAAATAAAAGGCTTAAAATAAAGAAAAAAAAGAACAGGAAGATCTTAAATTATCACAGGGGAAAAAAAGAGTGACAAAGGCAGAGTGGGGTCTTTTACTGTTAACTCCTACAACCTTGATTCACTTCCTAAACCACAAAGTGTCCTGTTATAATGTACATGACCATACATGAGGCGAGACTGTGGTTGGATGATGGTAATAATTGACCAGAGTTGAAATTTCCCCATGAATGGCTCTGGATAAAGTATAATTGATGTGGCTGAAACTGTTTTCCCAGTTAATTCTTACTCACACTCCCAGCAAATTTACTGAGTTTCATATTGTTTGCAGTAGGTTTATGTTTCATACTGCAGACGTGTGGTGTGTGTGCTGTGACAATGATAGATATACTTTGTTGCATGTGTGCATTTTACCAGCAATTATGACAGTTATAGCCATCGAATGGATGTAAATCCCCCTGTAGGAAACGAGCCCTAAACCTTAACAAGCCATGACCATTTTTATAGTAACCATGGGGACAAAGGTAGGTACGCCGCTCTCGGTTCAGTCCGCATTATTGTAACCATGACAACCAAGGTTCGGTGCGCCTGTCACTGTAGGTGTGTTATTTCAGGAGACACTCCGGTCGTCTCAGAGGGTTGAAAAAAATGACCTATGTGGTTGTTCAGGTTGGAAGACATGTTGGATGTAAATGTACTGGTGTCCTGTACTGTGCTACTGCTGTAATTATACAAGAGGCTTCTTCATGATATTATGTGTTAATCTCCGCATCACAATGTTATACTATGTTCAGATAATTATGTTATAGGTATAGGTATATCACCTGTTGCAGACTGCACAATGCACATGACTCACGTACACTGTTTCTATTTCTCAATGCATTTTGGTAACTTTAAAAATTTGATACCAGCCAAAAATCAGCCCAAGTGGTTAGGATTCATCCTCAGGGAACCATGACTGTCTACAAAGTTTTGTACCAGTCCATCTTATACATGGTAAAAACTTGCAGATGGAACTAGATGAAAAGTTGGATGATAAGCAAAGTGTTTTGTTATTATCATTATTGATATCTAAATAAGGTCTTGACCTGACCTTGTAAAGTGCCTTGCTATAATGTAAGTTATGATTTGGCACTAATTGAGTTGAATCTGGGCACCTGTTGGAGATCTTTGCTGAATCTCATGGCAGTCTGTCCAGCAGTTGTCAAGACATAATGACGTGGCTAAAAAATGTCCAGAGGCCAAGGTGAGCTGAGCCTGACGTGATTGTGTGGTTTTGGTGCCGAGAAGAGAGAGGAAGAGAAGGGGGGAGAAGTTTCAGAGTGATGAAGTAACACAGTAGTGTCACAAGCACACACAAGCACGCACACGCAGACACACATGCAGACACACACGCAGACACACGCACATACACACGCAGACACACACGCAGACACACACGCAGACACACGCAGACACACACGCAGACACGCGGCTGTCCGATCAAAGCGTGGTTCCACTCTAACTCTACTGTAAGATTCCACTGACGGCGGCACACTCCTGTGGTCTGTCTGTATCTCGCCATCACGTCATTCAGGCTTTCATCACCAATCGTCATTTCTCAATATCAGATAATCCTGCAAAATCCTAGATAATACCCAAAGCCCTCATTTGAAAATATTTCCTTTCTACAATGACTGCAGATAAGAACTATGTATGGTTAATGTTTGAGAAAGATTCCCATGTCTATCCACCATGCCTTACACCACAGCCTCAACACTGGCATTGGATGTAATTCCTGAGGTCTGGACTTTTGTTGGATATGTTTTTATGTTTTTATTTTAAACTAAAATCTGTCACAGAAAGGAAAACTTACTTAGATTTTTAAACTGTACAGTACATAAAAGGCCTCAGCAGGCTTGTGTGTTTATGTGGCTTTTATGCGACTCTCTAAACTATGTCCAATCAATTCATTAATGTAAATCAATTTACATTTATATTTTTTAACATGTTTTTATGTTCATTTAATGTCAATTTTTTTGTTGTAAAGCACATTGAGCTGCATTATGAAAGGTGCAAATAAAGTTTGTTCAGTTTGCCACAGGTGTTCTCCAGTTCCAGTTCTAGACACATTTCATTGATAATTAAACTAGACAGGATGCATCTAACCACAAGCTGCCTCAGCAAAGTGTCTGATTCTAATTTTGTACATTACTGTGCAGTATCGAATTGGAGTGTACTTCTGGTTTTCTCCATCCCATGTATGAGTTTTAAAATATAACAGTACAATATCTATATATGTGCCAAAGAAAAATAAAAACATAACTCAAGAAACAAAACAACAACAACTTTTGCCTCTGATTTAGCACCTCCTCAGCTCCTCCCCTCCACTGCAGCCTCAGGCCATCCAGTGTTACTCAACCCTCCTCACCTCCTCCATCACAGCCCTGCCCAGCCCAGCCTCCCGGCCCAAGCAGCATATATGAACCAGTCCTGGATCCTGCCCTGAGGTCAGACACAAGCAGTGATCACAGCTGCACACAATCCCATTGCTCTATCCCCGATTTTAAACAGTTACAAAGGAGGTCCTACAAAAAACTCGTAAGTTTTAACATTTATTTTTGTTCTAATTTATATCTTGTGATTTTTATGAGTTTATGTGAAACTGAATATGTGAATATTTATCTCTTTTTAAAACATGGTGGATTTTATATCAGTTACGTTATCTGCTGTGAAGTTGATTCAAATTTTGCAGCAGAAACCTGCCTCTGTCAGTGTGTCTGGTTGTGTGTAAATGACTTTGTTTTCATTTGTGCATTCCCGCCTTTGCAGACAGGAGGAGAGATGAAGCTTCTGACAGCCGCCCTCACCATCATTTATCTTACAACAGCGTCAGCTAGGCCGGTGAGCTAACCATAGCACTGCATGTTAATCTTCCCTTCCTTACTTCCCCTTCCTCTATTGCTGGCTGTGTGTCAGTTCTCATGTTGTTGTAACATGCATTTCCACAATGTAAAATTTGATTTGTGCAGATAATGAAAATTGTCATTTCAGTTCCAATAGCAGTTAATCAGATGGATATGGACATTGTTAGCTGCTGTTTAGTCCCATCTGTGTTTTGAGCACTTCCTTCGTCACACCACTGCTGAGAGTAATAGCTAATAGACTTCTCTAGTATAATGCAGGATAAACACAGCACTGAGTGAGCAGGAGCCAGTGACTCAACAGATGTTGAAATAAAAATGAATGTCTGGTGGGAACCATTGCAAGCGTTAGCGACGTGAGCTTAACAAGCTTCTGAGTGAATTACAAACTTAACAGCATTGTAGGTTTACCCAAATGTTGAATGATGCAGATGAACAGATCGAAATTGCTGACAGTCCATAACCAAGGTCAGGTACATATGTTGAAAAAGGTGAGAAACGTATTGTGTAATACTGTTTGCAGGGTAGGGCCATGACATGCTCCAGTCAGTGGTGCACCATGGTAATGGACAGCGAGTCTTCGAGCAACGATGTTTCTGCAAAGATGTTTGACAAACATCTTTTGTACTCTTTTTTTTAAAAAAATGGCAAAATTATGCACAATGGCTTTAGTTTCACTATAGTTTCCTTTCACAAGTGAGGAGAAATCAAATTCAGTCAGTGATATATTGCCTGCACCCAGCAGCCACCGGATGTCAAAGTAACGTCAGAAAGATGTTGGACTCTAACGACTAACATTGGACTGATTTTGGATTGGAAATGAAAATCTGGTTGACGTCAAAACCTAGTGTTGGCTAATTGGCATTGTGATGTCAAGATGTAAAGATGGTGTTGGCGTGAGACACTTGGAAGATGTTGGATTTTGGTTACGTAACAACACAACTTAACATCAACAAAATATCAACACCAGCTGTCGCCAATATTCTACGTCAAATTAACGTTGGAATTAGACGTCTTGACGTTGCATTTCGGTCACAACCTACATTCACCCCAATAACAACGTCTAATGACATTGGAGGCCGGCTGCGTGCCTGTGGGGCACATGATCCCAGCAGTATGGTTAAGGTTAAGAAAAGACTGTGATTTTTTTTAAAAGCTAACACTAATGGCTGGATTGTGATTGGACATTCTCTAGCAACAAAGTTGGATGCACCACACAACACTTAGCCACCCTGACCACCATGCCTATACTTTCTCCCTCGGTGCATCAAGCCCCCATCAAGTGCACTGGCACTGACGACCGACTGAATGTAATGTGTGTGCTGCAGAATCATCCAGTATCAATGTATTTTCTAGTGATAGGAAATCAGACAAGGAATTATGGCCTTTGACATTACCTGAGTGTAGAGACTCTCTTATTTTATATGTCCTCCACAGAACCGTTGGGGCATGCATCATCGTGATGCCAACATCGCTCTCAGTGGCTTCAAACAGGAATGGCAGGATTTGAACAGGTTTCGGCAGTCCAGTGAATCCAGCTACTCTTCCTCTGACTCCTCTGACTCCTCTGACTCCTCTGAGTCATCTGAATCTAGTGATTCTTCAGAGGGTCGATCTTCTGAGGAATCATCAGAGGAAGTCACCGTTCAGACCACCCCACCTGCGACAACTGTTGCCATGACAACTGCTGCCGTGACCACCCCTGCCATTACAAATGTCACTGTGGAAGAGAGGAATACGCTCACCCCTGAACCAGACCTGGTGGTCACAGACAAGCCGATTGTGACAGAGACCACGCCTATTGTCGCATCAACCAGCGATGTGCCTCACTGTTTTACCGAGGAGATTCTAACACCACCTCCCGTCACAGACAACCGAGGAGACAACTAACAAACTGTCATTCCTGGTAACCAACTGCAATTTTACATCTTACTGTAATTGTTAAACATCAGTGGGCTGAATGGGGCTTTATCAGCTTGGGAAGCAAAGGTTAACATCTGCGTAGAGATACTCAGTAAGACTGGTTTGAATCCAGGATATAGGGTGGTAAACTCTTGTAAAAGATAATCTCATAGCTAAATCACGAGTTTTAACATCTGATTATTTTGGAAGTTTAAATTTCTTGAAATCTATGTTTGCTTAAATATAGTACATTACTAAATACTGTGTTTTACAATAAACATTGTTCAGTTTTTAAGAAAACATTATTTTAATTGAAATGTACATTCAGATGTATGAGATGAGATTATATTGATTGCTTTTTATTGTTTGTTTTGTTATTTTAACCATCAAATGGTGATGCTGCACTTAGATATGGAAGCAGTAACACAGATAAATTACTGGCTCAGTCATGTTTCCTGTAAATTTCTCCCAGTGTGCCAAAACAGTTAATGTTAGCATTTAATAAAGTTTAAAGTATTAATTTTGAATTTTTTTGTATTTTGTAAAGATTTTCTTAAGTGCAGCACCTGTGGCACAGGTTTATCAAAACAAGCGAACATCTCAAAATCTTAATAACCAGAACGGGAGAAAAGCCTTTAGACTTTAAGGCTTAAAATCCTACAAAAATGTGCGGATTCATCACAGTTCACATTCTGCAGACTGAATGTTTCACTGGCATTTTACAAGACAAAAGAGATGAAGTATCCAGAGTATCCCAGAGAAGTGTGTTTATAGACTGTGGAGGGTGTGTCCTGTTTATCGTGTCAGCTCTTGTCTATTGTGTGTACATGCTTCATTATTGCTGCAGTGGTTTTTTTTATTTATGTGTTATGAATTTATGTTTTCTCAAATTGAATATGGCCTAGAGGGCTGGAGACAATATCTTAGTGTTGTTTGTTGCTGTTTTAACTTGTGTTGCACTTCATTTGTTGAACAGGAATGTGCATGATTGTATCTGTTGTATAACAGTTGTGATTTTTGTAATAGAGAAAAATAAAGTAACAAACTTACAATGGAATTGTGATATTTGGAAAATAGTTTACTCCTATAAGTAGATCAGATTATTGATTAGAGTTTAAAGGTTTGCAAAAGGTAAATCATCAGAGAAATATCAAACAAATATAAATATAAATGTATGTGGTTTTTAAACTTGTGGTGATAATGTCTACATATGAGGTGACTCTACTGAGGGGTAGAGGATGTTCTCACAAAAGTTTTTCATCTGCACATTATAAACACGGGAGCAGTGGTGGAAAGTAAATTTACTTAATTACTTTACTTACATAAAGGTTCTCCTACTTTACTTGAGTATTTCCACTTTATGCTTCTTTATACTTTTATTCCACTTGGGACAAATTTTCCAGTAAAATCCAAAGGATGTGAAGTTATAGCTCGCTTCCGAGTGCCTTGCCTTAATTGTTGTCTTAAACTCCCCTAGAACAACCCTAGCTAATATTAAGTTAGAAATGGAGTCTGCTAACGTCAACAAAAGACTGGCTACCAGCACTACAAAGACTCCAACACAAACACCACCTCAGCACAAAAAAAAAAGATTTCATCCAGTAAAGCCCGTATGGCCAAACGGGCACATGACCAACATTGGGAGGAAAACTAAGATCAACATCAGCTGATTATGATATTAAGTTTTAGAAATCTTATTTAAAAAACATAACATCAATCAAACTGTAGTCTTGCAAAGCCAGACCTATCTCCACACTTCGCTTTAGTGCAGCACTGGAGAGTCACATATAGTCTCAAATATATAATAATCGTCAGATCCCAGTGAGCTGCACTGCTGTGGACCATCAAAAAATCCATAAAGGTTTTACCATTCCTGTCAGTCTCCTTACCAGCCCTTTCTGTGTGCCTGTCATTCGGGGTGTACATGACGTGCATAAATGTTCTAAAGATATTTTCCCTCTAAACAGGGTAAAATTTTCCAATGTTTTACAACATAATTACTCCAATATTCCAACAAACAAACACTGATTTGTGTATTACAACATGTTTTTTCTTTCTTCAATCTTCTTTCTTTCCTGTCTCATAAATCATCTCACGACCCCTTAGATTTATCTGGTGACCCTTAGGAGTGTCATAAGCACTATGTTTGGAACCACTGGATGAAACTAGTTAAAGTAGCACAAACTTACTCCTGCAAGGCCTGAGGAAGGTGAGGAGTGTAATCATGAAATTTGTGTGATCACAGTAGAACTTCTTCTGTGGATAAATACTGTTTGTAATTCAGACTTTTGACATTTATTTCCTAAAGGTTATTTCTAACTTAAGTCTTTGAGTTTTCAAAGCAAGCAGGTCAAGTGGTATTTCAATGACTCAGCTCCATCTAGTGGGCAAAGTCATTAATTACAGTATATTGAAGCCACATTTGGGTTTAATGTTGGGGAGAAAGGCAGTGATGATGTTGTTGCAGATGAACAACATGACAATATAGATACCACAAGATGAATAGACATAGGGGTAAAAATGGGCCGAAATGAACCTTTGATTAATAAGTCAATCTGGTTGGCAGATTCATATATAACAATGTCAAGCAAGTTCATTTTTCATGTGCAGCCTGAACTTCCAAGAAACCAGGAAATAAAGTCACTTGTGATTTCCCTGCCTCTCTCCTTCTGTTCTCTTGGCATGTGAGTTGTTAAGTTAATTCTTATCTCATGGAGAGGTGCACTTGAGGGTTCTGCCAATGGCCATTACTGTCTTGTTCCAAACAACAGGCTCGTCTGGGATTTTAACCCGGCACCTCTCGCACGCAAAGTGAGAATCATACCCCTAGACCACCGTCTACTCACATTTTTAAGAATTAGATCTCACAAACCCTGTTTCTTTACTGTGTTTAGGTCCATTGGAATAAATATTCATTATAGCATCAAGGGTGGCACAGCAACATATAGTAATAAAGTTGGTACTTGTACTTTACTTAAGAAATTTATTTTATAGAGCAAACCCTTCACAAAATGGCTTCTTGTCACGTTTCAAATGTCTATAAGTTTTCACCAAAGGGACATTTCCTCCTCTAAACTTCTAAACTTCTTAGATTGTTGCATTTAAATAACTGTTTGAGCCCCAAAGAGATAAAACTATCCAGCATTGAAATAAAAAATAAAGAATAGACAAGATGTACAGTGCTCCATGCCTCCAGTAGAGTTCCAGAGACTTTAGCATCAACTCCAAGTAATATTGAAACTGTTCTGGCCGATTGTGGGGTCCAAGACTGTACTAATATTTAGTAGTTTTAGGTTTAGGTTTTAGGTTTTTCCTTTAATTTGCCACCCCTCCCTAAGCTTGCAGTATCCAAAAAACACAAGCAATGCGCTCTTCTTGTAGGTCTGCTTTGGTGTATTTAAAGGCAATTTTTCTGACATGTTGCTAATGACCATTTCTGTATCAACCCAAGCAAAGAGCTCATCCAGGACATTTCTTCTGATTTTGATATGTTGCTAATGACAATTCCTGCATTATTCCAAAGGGCTCGTCCAGGAGTTAAACCCTGGACCTTTCTCAACTGAAGCAAGAATCATACTCCTAGACCAAAAAGCAACTGGGAATTGGACAATTTAGGACAAGAAAGATCTCACAGTGGCTGTTTATTTAAAGTGCTTATCTATATTGCCATTAATACTCATTTAAGCATTAAGTGTGACACAGCAACATAGTAATAAAGTTAGTACTTGTACTTTACTGAAGAAAAACCATTTTGTAGAACAAACTTTCACAAAAATAGCAAAGTCTTGTTATGGTTTCTTGTCATGTTTTAGATCTCTATGAGTTGTTCAAATTTTCACTAAAGAGACATTTACCCTCTAAACTTCTCGGATTGTTGCATTTAAATAACTGTTTGAGGCCCAAAGAGATCAAATTCTCCAGCATTAGAATAAAAAATGAAGAAAAGACAGGAAGTACGGTGGCTAATTCCTCCAGTAGAGTTCCAGAGAGTTAATCATTACAAAGCTGTTTTAGCAGCACAATACCTTACAAAGGTAGTTTATGTTAGTTTTTCATTCAATCCTAAACACAGATAACCCAACCGTTTAATAGGTCTGCACTGATGGATGCACACATTGCTAATGACCCATACTGTATCTCTTCATTCAAGGGGCTCGTCCGGGAATTGAACACGGGACCTCTCACACCCAAAGCAAGAACCATACCCCTAGACCAACAAGCCACTCGTGTATGTACAAATTATGTCAATAGGGATCTCACAAATGCTGTTCATTCACTGTTTGTTTTAATTGTATCCATTACTAGTCGTTAAAGCATCAAGAGTGGCATTCCAACACAGTAATAAACTTGGTACTTACAGCCAAATTGTATGCTATTTAGATATTTCCATTTTGTGCTACTTTACACTCCTACTTTAATTTGAGAGGAAAATTAATTTTTTTACTATGAGTGACTCAGTCAGTTAGTATGTCAGTTCATGGCTTGTTCAGGCCCTTTTACTAGGTGTCCTAAATGTCCCCTGATCTTCAACGTGCCAACAGGTTTTCCACTTGGTGACCACTGCCACAGATCATGAGTCAGTCTGACTTACTGTGACATGCAGGTGTTCGTTGGAGGAGCAGTAGGGAAAAAGGAGGGAATCTCTCCTCTGGAAGCCCGTACACCGCCTCTCCATTTCTACATGAATAACATCAGACAGACGCATTAGCCAACAGGAAAATTGTGTTTGACGATACAGACAAAGGGCTCATGTGTGTTTGTTTGCATTTGTGTTTGTGTGTGTGTCACTCACACTATTCCAACAGGAACCAGGTTCTCCTTCATGTCGTCTGAGAACCTCACCAGTGGCACGTTGTCATACCGGAGACACAAACACACAAACAACAGGTGATTAGACAAGCTGCGTCTTCATCTACTTCGCCTCTCTTTAAGTTATAGTAAGTGAATGAGCTGCAGTGGCACCTGTGGAGCAAGCACACATAATACAGCAGTGTGTGAATGTTCCTGCAGAGGGCCACAGAAATCAGGAGTGTGTGCTCATATGAAGATCAGTAGAAAACACTTGGCAACAGCCTCATTAATACATTAATGCAGCATTTAATGACTCCCGTGAAATGCCTGATGATGTATTTAGGCTACATCCACCTGAACTGTAGGTTTTTGATTCTGCTCATTAAAACTGGTTTTGAGAACTTCATCCTTCTGTACAAACAATCCCTAACTATTCCAAACTCAAG